CAGGGGGTTAAAATACTTCAGTGGGTTAACATACTCTCCACACACCAAGCGTGAGCACACCCCCTCGCACTCTCCCAGGGGCCATGTGAACCGTGCTCTGCACATACCATAGGCCCGCCCAGCCACCCTCCATCCTCAAGTGCATTAAAGAGGGAGACTATTTTGGTCTTCAGCACAAGCAATAAATAAATACAGGGCAGGGAGGAGAGGGCAGACGAGTAAAAACACAGCCTCTGCCTTTGGCAAGAGAAGACAGGCAGCGAGGGGCTGCTCCCTGCAGGGTCTTGAGCTAAGTTGCCTGCCATGGGCCCCTGAGGGCACAGCTGAGCAGAGTGCACCTGGTCACCCCACACCACCAGGACCTGGATTCCAGGGCCTCTGGGCTTGGCGCTGGATGGAGTGAATGGAAGGCTGGCCTACCCAGGCCCCGGCTTCTCCCTGTCTCCAGAGTCCCACTCCCTACTTGCATGACCTTGCACGCTGCCTCAGTTTCCCACTTGGGCCCGAGTCCCTGGTGCCTTCAGGCTTTGAGCTGTCGTGGGGGCACAGGTTGGAGCAGCCAGGGCAGGCAAGCCCAAGAGCCACTGGCTCTCTAATACTGACTTCCTTATGGGCCCGGTCACTTGGAGGGCAGCGCACTGAGTTGTCCTGGGAAGGCACCTGGCTGTCCCGGGGTCCAGGCTGCTCTGCCCTCCCCAACACCCCCCTAGCCCAGCTGGCTTCTCCGCCAAGAAGCAACCTGCACTGGGCAGCTGCTGGTCCAGGTGCTGCTTCTGGGTCAGCAGAGCCTACAGCCCAAACCCCTTCCTGGGTGTGTGTGCCGCTCCTGACTCTCAGCGAGAGGTCGCATCTCTCTGAGCACTGGTACTCTCTGTTCAAGCAGGGCGCAGCCTGGCTGCCACTCATGGGCTCCACCCTGCTGCCCGGAGTCAGGGGGAGCACCATCAGCCTGGCCTCTGCAGACAGAGGGGCTGTGGGGACTGCATGGTGGCGTCGGGGAGGGGTTCAGGGGAGTCCTAGACCACTCCTCTGGGCCTCACGGGTGGGGCTGCCAGGTGCCCTCCCCAGGAGCACCCACTCCTGCGTGTTTGCAGAGGCCCCTCTCTGTGGAGGGTGGGAGCCCGGGCAGCAAAGGAGAGAGCAGCAAACACGAGGACCCCAGGGCGCTGGGGGAGGGGACCCTCCGTGGCAGGCAGGGCTCACATCCGACCCTGAGGGGCACCTCTAAGTGCAAAGTCGAACTCCAGAAACCAGTTGTTCTGTCCCAGCGCCCGCCTCCATGACCCCGGGAGCCTCGTGAGCATTAACACGGCCCTGGTTTTTCCACCACAAAAGGGCCCTGGCCCAGCCGTGCGCACAGGGGTCACAGCGCGGTCGGCCCTGGCCCTCCAGCCCCAGGGAGCCTGGCGGAGCCTCCGCCCACTGCCTGCATCCAGGCAAACAGTGGAATTCTCTGTGTCCTTTTTTGTAGCCCATGAATTAAAAAAAGGTTTAATCACATGTTAATTCTTTTGTAAAGAGGTTCCTCAAACTGAGACTGAGAAAGTGGAGACCCCTGATTTCTTCCCAAGTTAAAACAAGCGGGTGCCTGCAGCCAGCGGCCTGCACCAAGGGCGGGCGGCTGTGGAGCCGTTGGGGGTGGCCTGCAGCTCTTCCCTCAGGCAGACGCACCAGCCCCTGCGGCGCGGCCCGGAGCCTGCGTGGGCCTCTGAGGCCAGGGACACCCGCTCCTGCCACCCACGCTCCTGCCGGCCTCCCAAGACCACGTGAAGCCTGAAGCATCTAACATGCGGCTGCGTTGGCCACCTTTCAGAGGCTGCCCCGTGGCCCACGGCCACTCATATCTCCGACTCCCGCCGGTAGGGCCGCGGCTCCAGAGCACTGCTGCTGGCCGGGGGCCTGGCGAGGCCAAGCCTGGCCTGAGGGCCGCCCGCCGGGTCGTCCTCGGCCACGTCCTCCTCGTCAGGGCTCAGGAAGGCCAGCTCGTTCTCGTAGCAGAAGGAGCTGGTGCCGGGCAGCAGGAACTTGTTCTCCGCCAGGTCCCTGGCGCTGCAGCGGGGTGTGGCGGGCACCTCGTAGGTCTTGTGGAAGCGCGAGTAGTCAATCTTGTACTGGTTCTTCTCCTCAAAGAGGACGGGCTCGAAGCGGTGGCCCCAGAGGATCTCGCTAGCCAGGTAGGAGCTACGGGCCTGCGTGGTCATGGCCGTGGCCTCCACCATGCCCTCCAGGATCACCACGATCTCGAAGTCGTCCGCCTCCAGGTCCTGCCGGCTGATGCGAACAGCGGGCTGGCCTCGTCGATCTCGTGCAG